GATGAAATTAGGTAGAGTGAATACTAGTGATGAAATTAGGTAGAGTGAATACTAGTGATGAAATTATGTAGAGTGAATACTAGTGATGAAATTATGTAGAGTGAATACTAGTGATGAAATTATGTAGAGTGAATACTAGTGATGAAATTATGTAGAGTGAATACTAGTGATGAAATTAGGTAGAGTGAATACTAGTGATGGAATTAGGCAAGAGTGAATAATTGTTTTTTTACATTGTTTGTTCTAAACATGCATAATTGTTCAACATGAATTTAAACTTTTAAGAACATGGTATAAAAATTAATTTTTAAACAACAGGCTATAACTCGTAGTGAAATAATGTATTTTGGTTATAGAGGGCGCTTTGAGAGTAGATGCTAATATATCGGTAAACCAAACAGGAGAGCCATGGGGTACAAGGACAGAAGTGAAAAATATAAACAGTGTACGTTGTGTGGCTAAAGCAGTTGGTCAGTTCTTTCATATTATTTGTTGACATAGTATAGTTCTAAGAAGTTTCTTGTTTGTTGCAAATCATTAGATGTCTTTCAGGGTGACCTTTCTTCATGAGGAGTAAATACCAATGGTAACATTAGATCTTTTATCATCAATACCAATGTTAATATTAGATAAGAGTTAGATCTTTTATCGTCACTACCAGTGGTAATATTAGACAAGAGTTAGATCTTTTATCTTCAATACCAATGTTAATATTAGACAAGAGTTAGATCTTTTATCATCAATACCAGTGGTAATATTAGACAAGAGTTAGATCTTTTATCTTCAATACCAATGTTAATATTAGACAAGAGTTAGATCTTTTATCGTCAGTACCAATGTTAATATTAGACAAGAGTTAGATCTTTTATCATCAATACCAGTGGTAATATTAGACAAGAGTTAGATCTTTTATCATCAATACCAATGTTAATATTAGACAAGAGTTAGATCTTTTATCTTCAATACCAATGTTAATATTAGACAAGAGTTAGATCTTTTATCGTCACTACCAGTGGTAATATTAGACAAGAGTTAGATCTTTTATTTTCAATACCAATGTTAATATTAGACAAGAGTTAGATCTTTTATCTTCAATACCAATGTTAATATTAGACAAGAGTTAGATCTTTTATCATCAGTACCAGTGGTAATATTAGACAAGAGTTAGATCTTTTATCATCAGTACCAGTGGTAATATTAGACAAGAGTTAGATCTTTTATCATCAGTACCAGTGGTAATATTAGACAAGAGTTAGATCTTTTATTTTCAATACCAATGTTAATATTAGACAAGAGCTAGATCTTTTATCATCAATACCAGTGGTAATATTAGACAAGAGTTAGATCTTTTATCTTCAATATCAATGTTAATATTAGACAAGAGTTAGATCTTTTATCATCAGTACCAGTGGTAATATTAGACAAGAGTTAGATCTTTTATCATCATAACCAGTGGTAATATTAGACAAGAGTTAGATCTTTTATCTTCAATACCAATGTTAATATTAGACAAGAGTTAGATCTTTTATCTTCAATACCAGTGGTAATATTAGACAAGAGTTAGATCTTTTATCATCAATACCAGTGGTAATATTAGACAAGAGTTAGATCTTTTATCTTCAGTTTGATCCTCATGA